CACTTAAAAAAGAACGAATATATCCATGTCGGGAGTTATCATAAACTCAAATTATATGTATTCAAAGACTTCTTATATTCTTAACATAAAATATTTTATGAGATGGTTATTTAAGTATCAATGTACATTTGTAATCTCAATTGCGAAACGTTTTTTTTAATATATACCAATATTCGTTAGTTCCACTCTTTATAACGTCATTTACAGTGTGTTTACTACACTTAGCTGATAAAACTATCCATTGGCTTAGTCACCGAAATCTAGAAAGCCTATCTAATAGATGGCTCTTTCATCTTGGGATGTTGACTGAAACAGAGTTTGCCCAAAATATTAACTTAAGTAATAGCAAGCTAGATCGTGTAGCAAATTGTCTTAGATGCTACATCCGATAAGATAAATCCTTGAAAAACTATGCATTTCAGTCAATTTTGTTTAATATATTGAAATTGGATATTTATTGAAATTGTAACTTTTAACAGAAAAGTAATATTTCCTATTTAAAAAACAAGATGTTTGTTTTTAATTTTTACAAACATACATTGAGAATAAATACTGAACATAAATAGATCTTGTAATTCTTTACTCAAAATTATGTTAACTCTTACTGATTTCCCTAATAATTATGGCCAATAATTATTCCGTGATAGCATATGGGTTATCCAGCTACGGTAGGACATATAAATCGCACCTTGATCAGATATACACACTGCAATTACGTATTTTAAAAACATTGGTCCCTCAAAATAGAAAAGATATATATGAAAATGATCACAGAAACCTATTTGACTTCTGTAAAATAATACCCATACATAAAAAGATCGAAATTACGCTATTAGTGGAAGAATTTTTTAATAGCAACTTTAAAAAAGTACAGCTTAAAAATGTCGGAGATGGAATATTACGTAGTAATTCCAATTGTAAACTTTTATTACCAACCAATACTAACCTATATGGTAAGAGAACACTAAAATATGTCATTCCGAATTTAATAAATAAACTGCCAATAGGCATAAAAAATGAGATTACACCTAAAAATATAAAATATAAATAAAAAAAATACTAGGTATTTAAACAATGAATTGAATATACATAGTTAAATAAAACACAGTCACACTTATACACAATATTAATATATAATTACTTTATATTTCAATAAGGCAATAAAATTACCTAAAAATAACTACACTAATAAATAAATAATAAAGTCTACAACATACATCAGCCTGTATAACAGCGTATTTGTTTTTGTTAGGAGAAGCGACGGTTGTAATATTAAACTATGTATAATCGCGTAATCTGCAAAGTGCAAGATATATCCTCGTTAATATTTTTCTGTAAAAATGAAATATTATGTAGTTAGATTCTTTTTTTCTTTTGTATTGAATTGGATCGAATATTTTTGTTTTATTTTATCTTATGTGTTTTGTTTGATTCCTTAGTATTTTAGTGTTATGCATACGTTATATAAGTGTAAAATGTATCACCAAAAACATGCCTGTTAAAAAGGGGGCCAAGTTCCAATCGGCTAATTGTTTGCCTAAAAAAGGGGTGAAATCCAATCTAATGCCAAGTTTAGATGCACTTTGAAATCGATCATAATCATCTTCATCAACAGCATGATCCACTGGTAAACATTTGCCATTCCCAAGACTCGCCACCACACCGAGTCCTCTGCCTTCCACATCCAGCCACTACCCGCCACCTTATTCACGTCAACGGTCCATCTGGCCGAAATTCACTTTACCATACACCCAACTTAAAATATGGTATAGTTGTGAAAATACGTAGGTGCTTGGTTAAAAATATCTAAAATTATAATACTTCTCAATTTGAACTTGGCAGGTTTTTGTGCTGTACGTAACACTTAATTAATTGTATCATTAATTTATTATTTAGTTATATAATTATTTATATTTATATAATTTAAATATTATATAATTTAAATAATTAAATTAACCTGATCTTATCCATCTCCTTGATTCTCTCACAGTATTAATTTGGCAGAAGAAAAAAAAACTTTATTTATATTAAGCAAAACAAAATTAAAACAAAAATCGAATTTTGTTACATATTTTACTAATTACACATTAATATCCCCAGACACTTTGACACTTATGATAGATGTCAAAAAGTGAATCATATTTTATAAACATTCATTATTCATTAATATTACTTTAGTCCGTATCGTAAAATAGCATCTTCACATTAAAATTGTGTTCTGTTTTTGTTATAGTACAATTACTACCTTAAATTTATTTTAAAATGCCAGCACCAGATGAAAATAAACATGTTAAACCCGAACAAGTTGAAGTTCCAGTGCGAGAATAAACTCAAACTGACCATTTAAATAAGAAACTTTTGACATCGCTTTTTAAAAGGATTGAAGAAGATAGTAACTCAACTCTATCAAAATGTTGGAACCAGAAGATGCAGAAAATAATGATGAATGGAAAGATTGATATCAAGTTTCAAGTTTAATTAACAATTCTCTAATATTTACACTTTGCGTGGTGACTTGTATAATAATATTGTAATATATGTATGACTTTAAATAAATAACTTAAAGTATATCTGTGTATTTTGATTTGAAATGTTCTTGAAGAAAATTACCATATTTAGGGATTGAATGCTAGTTTGTAAATTAAATATATCTTCACACAGACACACGTCAAGGATCTAATTGAATATGAAATGCAGTTAAATATAATGATACAAAATTTTCTTCTTATATATTTTGTTTCTAAAATGTTATTTTTTCCTTGCAGCATAACTTATTTGCTTTAAGTTTATGCATATAAACATAAATTATCCTTTTTTATACTTAATAATTATTTGTATAATAAAATAACAAATGTTAGTGTTTAGAGAAAAATACTTCAATGAGCAATTTAATGTAGTTGTTGTTTATATCTAATAGATAGGAGCAATACTTGTCTCAATTTTATTATGAATGCAACGTTAATAATTCCAAAAGACAAATAATGCTTCCCAAGAAAAATGCTCTATTTTTCTGTTAACATTATGCAAAAAAATATCATTTGACCTTCAGCAAGAAACCAAAGAAAAGAAAAAGGGAGTTGATTAAACATAAATTTAATTTTGTATTATGAAATGTTTTTATTTGTTAGTCGGAATATGAGAAAATGTTGAAAGCAGTAGATGAAAATTTACCACAATTTTTGTTGGAAGACAAAACAGATGACTTTTGATATTCATAATATTGGATTAAGATCCAATAACTAAAAGAAATATTCAAGAATTATCTAAGGATAATACTTGAATATTTCTTTTGGTAGCAGGGTTCTAGTAAGCATATAAATTTTATAGACATGGGATTATTTAGAAATATAATACTTTTGTGAGTGTTCATATAAATAAAACTATTGTTTTCAGATTACTACACCTAAGTATTATATCATCTCTTATTATATGGGTAATTAGTTATTCTATCTATCTAAGAATTTTGTTTGTGAAGTGTTAGAGATTAGAGATTTAAATTTTTTGGGTTGAATTATGTCAGACAATTTAGAGGTGGCAGAATGCTGGAATTTAAATAAGAGGGTAAGTCTTCTTCACTGAAAGAAATGGTGTTAATTGAAGTGTCTTTTACACTATCAGTCATTTAGTGTAAATAAACGTTTTTTGTCAATCTCTTGTATAACAAGGAGTGCCGGGTTGAAACAATTTGTCGTATTCTAAAACAAATAATAAATAAAAGTCATTGAAACAGTAACTTTAATAATATTTATTATGTACTACACAAGTTATGAGGAATGTTTTTATTTACATAGCTTTGCGTAACTCTGATATAATTTTTATATATTTTTTCTTTACAGTCGCAAACAGTAACTACTCTATAGCGCAACTTTAATACTGAAATAAAAATTGTTGCGTTTAATATATATATATCCATCGAATGGAATAACCAAAGCTCATATATTTTCTATGATGGCTTCATAAATATTAAATCTTTTTAATTTGATACATAAATAGCATTTCATGATGAAAATCAATCATATGTACATTGAACAAATTAGGATAAATGTATAAGAATGAACAATCATAAATATAATTATACAATATTTCAACTATTGTTTCAGCTAGCACTTAGAACAGCATTTCCATGTGGTAACAATACCTGCAAATGAAAATTACATTATTATACATATGTTTTAATTAAATTTCTTAGGGAGTATACAATTTATTGATAATTTTTCTTACACACAAACAAGAAATACCTAAAATTATATCTATAATTCAAAATCTTACTGCATATTTGTGTAAAAAGGATACATTTTTATAAGGAAAGATAACAATTAATTTATTAAAAAAATTTAAATACTCATAACAAATTTATTGAGAAGAAAAGAAAACAAAATTATTTACCATCATACCAAATCTATTACTTACTAATATGTATTAATTCTTTTAAATGAAAACTAATATGAAAGTGACTATTAATATCAATTTATTTAAAATTCCACATGCATACATAACAATTAAAATAGTTAAAATTATTCTCTCAATTTGTTTTATTTCATGCCAGTTACATAAACATAGTATATTCTATGCAGGGTGACTGGTGAATTACTATCGATATTTGAGGACGTGATATTTGACGATCATATATGACAAAATAAAAATTAATATAACATAAATATTAATAAACTTCTAAGTAAAGTTAACCAAAAGTTATGTAATTAATTACGCATCGTATGAACACCCTACAGATTAGGTATACACACACACACACACACTCGCGCGCGGCGGCGTGTTGTTGTATCAGCACGCCGCCGCACGCGTTCACACTTGGAACACTTGGAATGTGTACACACTTTATTTATTTATACGGAAATTTGGTCAAAAATTAAGTACCTATTTTTTTTACATAATTCGAATGAGAATCATGTACCAAGTATGCTCCTTAAATATTGATAGTAATTCACCAGTCACCCTGTATATGTTATATAGTTACCTATATATATATAGTATGGTATCGTCTAAGCCTTCTCGACCATGTCAATGTTGATTTTGTAGAAAACATAGGGGAAGTAATCTGATTGACCGAAACCAAGACCGGCCAACTCAGCATTCTGAAATAATAATAAAATATAGGTTTGAAATATAACTCAAATATGTAATGGAAGTAATATTTATATGATCAATAGCTTGTAGTGATTAAACTATGTTTATTTAAATCTGTGTAATCATATAAACATTGTAATAGGGTTTGGAAATTTCTTTTTAGTAACTAATTTGAAAAGTATAATATCATTTATAAAGGTTAAATTTTTCATTGGAATGTCATATTAAATAAAATCTTGTCTATCTATTTGCATGTATCTGTGTTTGTGTGCATGTATATGAGTATGAATATCTATCTATCTGTGTCTGTGTGCGAGTGTCTCGTCTCTATCTATCTATCTATCTATCTGTCTGTGTCTGTATGTCCCTATCTGTCTGTGTATCTGTGTCTCTGTCTGTCTGTGTGTGCGTGTATGTATGTATCTATCTCTCTCTGTATGTCTATCTGTATCTGTCTGTCTGTCTGTATATACTAACGTCCTGTGCCGCGTGTCCGTGCTGCTGCGCCGAGTGGTCGAGGTGGGCGTACAGCTGCTGCAGCACGTCCCGCAGCTTCTTCACGCTCTTACGAGCCGGGACCATCACTACAGCGAGGAAGTTCACTGGCAGACCGTATCTATGAAACGTAACCATTATATAATATTTGTATCGGAATAATATATATAATATTAAATATCTACGATGTAATATATGTAATTGACTACAATATTCATATTATATTTATTTTAAACTAGCTTTCCGCCCGCAGCTTCGTCCGCGTGGATTTCGGTTATATCGCGTTTTCAAGAGAACCTTTCTAAAGTCTGGGATAAAAACTATCCTATGTTCTTTCTCAAGGTCAACTCTATGTCTGTACCAAATTTCATTTAAATCAGTTCAGTGGTTTAAGCGTGAAAGCGTAACAAACAGACAGAATTATCGTGATAGTTAAATGTAGTTTTTGTGATTTTTTTATATGCAAACATAATATATAGTTTCTCTAGTACAACGTTGAAGTTTAAAATAAGCTTAAGTTTTAATTGATGCAGTTGTGACATACAAATGGTTTTTTGGTTATTATCATTTATTTTTCTATAATATGCATGAATATATTTTTTCTGATCAACAAAACTTTTATAGAATAACTGTAATATGAAAATCAATTGATGTTTATCATCATCAAGTGAACTATCAAACAAGTTCCCAATTTTAATTATCTACTGCCAACTATTTACAATACATTATGTTTTAACGCCTCCATTTTTCTACTCAAAAACCACTATACATTATCCTAATTATAATAATGACTTATCATGCCTTAAAGCTTTACACAACGTCCCACTTTTATCTAAGGCTCTTAAAGTCCACTTTGAGAAAGTCTGTATATAAATTATCCTACTAATATTAAAATTGCGAAAGTTTGTGAGTCTGTGTGTATGTTTGTTACTTCTTCACGCTCAAACGGCTGAACCGATTTTGATAAAATTTTGTATACATGAAGCTGACGTCCAGGAACAACACATAAGCTAATTTACATCCCGGAAATCTCGGTAACACCGCGGGGCGTAGCTAGTATATATATTCTCACCTCAGAACGGATTCAACAAACACCCTCAAAGCCTTCACGTGTATCCAGGCACAGAAACATTCAGAGAAATTCACTTTCAACCATCTCACCAATGGACCCTGGAAAAAATAAACAAAAACTTTATTATAATGAACAACATGATGCTTTTGATATAATAAAGCATTCTTATATTTTAAAAAATCAATTAAAATCTTCTTAATTTCATATTTTAATAATATTATCCATCTTTTTAAATTAATACCACAATAAAATACATAACAAGTATTGTCTAATTTAATTTAATTCAGTTAAACTTGTATGAGGTCCACAAAGTGTATTTATTGTAACCTATATTGTTCTGTTTTCATTAACATATATTTTATTAAACGCAATACATATTAATTCATAAAAAAAAATTACTAAATTAATCGAATCAAACTTTGTATTAATAAAATCAAAATACTAAGATGAAAAATGTGTAAAACAATCACTCCATAATAATTACGTACTTTAAGAAGCATTTATTAGTGTCTTTTTAAAATTCATATAAGTTCATTTTCCTTCCGATTAAGTTTTAACAATAATAAAGCAAGCATAGTAAATATATATTTCATTTAAATGTATTTTCATTTAAATGTAATATCAAATATAACTCACAAACTGTTTCTTCTTGTCAGTAACGAGCCTGGTGATCTCGTTCTTGCCGGCCGCGAGGTCCGCCTCGTTGTATGAGAACTCGCGGACAATGAACTTACGTTCACGAGCGTGCAGCTTGAACTCGTCAACCACCTGGCGGATATTATGGACTATTGTTATATGGATAGACTGGACTATTGCTATTTGGACACAAACTGGTGAATTGCTATTTGGATACAAACTGGTGAATTGCTATTTGGACATTTGCTATTTGGACACAAACTGGTGAATTGTTATTTGGACACAAACTGGTGAATTGCTATTTGAACAAATTTATGTCTAGCCACTGAAAACTATTTGCATTTTCTCCAGCAATCATACATAGGAATTATGTTCAATTAAATCTAGAATTTACAAAGCCTTTAAATATATTTTTTGCATTAAAAATGGATGAAGTTTTTTTTATAAGAACAATAAAAATACTAATGACGGCGTTTCAAAAAATTCTTTTAATAGGTATACTTAACATAAAAACTAGATTATGAATATCAAAAAGATTAAAACTCACTATATTTAACCATTATTCTAACTGTTCAACTAACTGACTTACCTTACGGAACAGAGTTACAGTGAACAGCCCGTAGTCATTGTCTTGATGTACGAGCTGAGTTGAACGCGGTACTATCATGTCAGTTATCTTCTCGTAGTTAGCGTTCCAGTCGTTAAACATCGCCCTATAGTTAAAATTACAGTTAAAATTAACTAACTGTGAAATATATATTATGATTTTAAGGTAAAAGTCAATACTGTTAAAGTTATTTTCAGCTACTAGATTTGGTGAGTGAAAAACATTTTTGAAAAAATGTTTTTGAGTAATTAGATATTTTAAGTATGTATATCTGAGTTATAGGAAAAGGAATAAACAAAAATATAAAATCATAGTTAAAAGGAAGATTTGAAAATAATTATTTAATGACATATATTTCATAGATAATTTTTACTTAGAAACTATATAGATTAAAAATATAAACAAATTATACACTTTATATACTAAGGAAGATAATAATTTTTCACTAATATTCGTAAACGAGGGTAGTTTTATACTACCAAAAGTAGTATAAATCTATTCTTATTTGCTACTTATCTATTCTATAGTACATAGTATACTCACTTGGGTACGATGACGAGTAGGGTAGTCAGATATTCGCTGTCCAGAATGAAATGTTCCTTTTTAACCAAATCAGCGAGGTTGCAGGTCAACAGACTGCCACTGGAAATGTAGTTAAATGACAACCAACGGTTAATATTGGAATAACCAGTGGTTAATATTGAGTTAAATGTATTATATTTTGATTAAATTATTCGAGGGTGGTTGAAAGACTCGCGTATTATAGGACTTATGAAATAATTAATTCACCGTTTGAATTAAGGAAACGATAGCTCAAATTGTAAAGTATTAATATATTGTAGAGGTAATCAGTTCAAATACCAATTAAATACTTGAATTTTTACTCATCTCTACTAATATTATAAATGCGAAAGTAACTCTGTCTGTCTGTTACGCTTTCACGCCTAAACAACTGAACTGATCTTAATGAAATTTGGCACAGAAATGGAGTTGACCTTGACAAAGAACATAGGGTAGTTTTTATCCCAGACTTTTGAAAGGTTCCCTTGGAAACGCGATATAACAGAAATCCACGCGGGCGAAGCTGCGGGCGGAAAGCTAGTTATAATTCATAAACTATACAAAAACATCAAATCCTATTTCAATTTGAGTCTAACTTACATATTAATGATATATATGAATATATTTATATAAATATATTTGGGGAGTAAGGGGGAACGGAAATAACATCTTAACCGACCCAATTGTCAACCTCACCTGCACGCATTGGCTCTCTATGTTTATTGGAAAGCTGATGACGACTATTATTTTTAATAGTCGTGGTGCTCCCTGCTAGATAACGGACGAGGCAATGGCGACCGAGCAATGGCGGTATAACCATACGCCCTACTGAAGCATTTACGTCATCTTCAGTAGGAAGAGGCTACAGCGACCTTGGAGTTTAAATAGCTCCTAAAATGTCTGGTGCAGAAGGCAAGGGGAAACCACTGCACTATATTCCCAAGAAAGTCATCATGATTAAAGTTAATGCAAAGAGAAGTAAGTGGCCATGTGATCCGCCTAGCAACCGGCGCCATACTGCGTCCGGGGCAGATGGTGTTAAATGTGATACCGGCCATGTGTGTGTAGGAGACCAGGCACCGCACGGAAAAAGGACTACTGGAACTTCCATAAAAATGCGACATATTAAAAAGATAGGAACTTGGAATGTTCGCGGATTACTGCAACCGGGAAAACTCAAGATCCTTGAAAAAGAAATAGACCGTTGCAACATAAGTATTTGTGGTCTCAGTGAGACACATTGGAAAGACAATGGTCATTTCCTCACAGAAGAAAATATTGTTTATTTTTCCGGCAACAACAACAGCAGTAGAAATGGAGTAGCATTTATTATTCCGAAACAGTTGAAGAACTCGGTGATTGGATACGAAGCAGTAAGTGATAGAGTCATAAGTATCTCACTCAAAGCAAGCCCTATCAACCTGAACGTTATTCAGGTATATGCTCCAACTAGCACTGCAAGTACTGAAGACATAGAGACCTTCTATTCAGATTTAGAGACTACCATCACAAAATTTCCCAAACGAGAGCTTCTTGTCATCATGGGTGATTTCAATGCGAAAATTGGATCAGACGCACACTTAATGAACCCATGCGCCGGAAGGTTTGGACTTGGGCGGCGGAATGAAGGGGGTGATCGACTCATTCAATTTGCAGCAGACAACAACATGGTAATTGCTAATAGCTTATTCGAACATCATCCTCGCCGACTCTACACTTGGATATCTCCTGATGGCAACTATCGCAATCAAATTGACTATATAATGATTGCGTCTCGTTGGAGAACCTCGATAAGAAACACCCACACCATGCCGGGCGCTGACTGTGGATCGGACCATCAACTCTTGGTGTCAAAGCTGCAGCTAAAACTCAAAGCTGCAAGAAAATCTAATGCAGAAAAACGGCTCGAAGTAAAAGATGGCTCAAAGTTTCTATCAGAGCTTAAGAAAAACTGGTCTCAATGGACATCTAGAGACGCTGCTGAGTCATCGGATGAGTTATGGGGTCAGGCAAAGTATATAATTGAAGGCGCTGTGAAATCCTCAAAGCCAACTACGGAGCTTCGTAAAAGACAGCACTGGATGAGCGACCATACTTTAGCTCTTGTAGAGGAAAGACGTCGAATGAAAGCTTCAGGTAGCGATGTAAGAGATCTGTATGAGAAATCTGCACAAATACAAGCATCGTGTAGACGTGATCTTAACACCAAGTATCGGACTATTGCAGAAGAATTAGAAATCCACGCCGATAGACATGAAACTCGCGACCTATATCAGAAAATCCGACAGATCACAAAGTCTTTCAGCTCGAAAACTTGGGCTATTGAAAATGCAAGAGGAGAAACAGTCACAGAGATAGAGCAAATTGCCGAATCCTGGAAGGAATACTGTCAGCTGCTGTACAACGATCCGGAGTCACAAAGCTGCTTATCAACGAGACCAGAGGATGAAGAGATGGAGCCGAACATACTTAAGGATGAAATTAGAGCTGCAATAAAACTCAAAAATCGAAAGGCGGTCGGCAAGGACTCAATCCCGATTGAAACGATTAAATCGTTAGGAGAATATGGTGTCCAGATCTTCCACCTGATCTGTAATAAAATATGGCAAACAGGATCATGGCCTCAAGAATGGGCACACACTATCTTTGTTCCGCTGCACAAGAAGGGCTCCACTAAGGTGTGCAGTAATTATCGTCTTATTGCACTTATACCCCACGCAAGCAAAATCCTACTGCATATCTTAAATGAGCGACTCAAAGCCTACTTAAACAAAGAAATAGCACCTGAACAGGCTGGCTTTGTAAAAGGGAAAGGTACCAGGGAGCAAATTCTTATCGTTCGCCAAATAATAGAGAAGTCCCGTGAATTCAATAAACCTACCTATATATGCTTTGTTGATTTCGCGAAAGCTTTTGATTCTGTGAAGTGGCCTATTCTGTGGAATTCTCTACTAGAAATGGGTACCCCTAAACACCTTGTTCATCTACTTAGAAGGCTCTATGAAGATGGAACGGCATCGGTAAGAGCAGACGATACGTATTCTAGCCACTTTCACCCTAGTGCCGGAGTTCGTCAAGGTTGCATAATATCGCCACTTTTATTTAACATATATACGGAGACTATTATGCGGATCACCCTTGAAGATTGGACGGATGGGATTTCGATTGGCGGTATGAAGGTGTCTAATCTACGCTATGCGGACGATACCACCTTGTTCGCAACTAGTGAGAGCCATATGGAAGACCTGTTGCAGAGACTAGAGAACGTTAGTCTCCAATTTGGGCTAAAAATAAATCGCAACAAGACAAAAATCATGATTGTCGACCGGGTCAATGACAACTCTCCCGAAGTAACCCAAATTGCAAACTGCGAAGTAGTGCAATCGTACATTTACCTAGGCGCGCTTATCTCTAACAACGGCGGTTGCACAGATGAAATAAAACGACGTATGGCAATCACTAGGTCTGCTATGGATAGGATGAAGAGAATATGGAGGAATCGAAACGTCACTAGAACCACCAAAAGCCGCCTTGTGCGTACTCTAATATTCCCCATATTCTTGTATGCCGCAGAGACGTGGACTGTGCGAGAGTGCGAGCGACGTAAGATTGACGCCTTAGAAATGTGGTGCTGGAGACGAATGTTGCGAGTTCCCTGGACTTCGTTTCGCACGAACTATTCAATCTTACGTGAGATAGGCGTAAAGCAGCGTCTATCCTCCATAGTTCAAGCCCGTATTCTGTCGTATTTCGGCCATATATCGCGGCGTGGAGTGGCCTCAATAGAGAGGCTTGTAGTGCAGGGCAAAGTCGAGGGTACAAGACCGCGTGGCAGGTCACCCATGCGCTGGACAGACCAAGTCAGGACTGCAGTGGACGCTCCTGTCAATGAGTGCTCAAGAAAACCCACCATCAGAGACGAGTGGCGACGCGTTGTGAAGCGTGCCACCACACATCATGATGACCACGACCGTTCTGCCAAGAACGTACCGACTTAGGAGGAGGAGGAGGATGAATATATTCAGATCAAAATCTCTGTTTACATTTATTATCTCGTCTCGTTGTACGTGTTATATACTCACGTCTGTTTTTTCTCCAAGCTCTGCAGGTTTCCCTTCAGCGAGTTGTAAGCTGATGATTTCATCTTCAAATCAGCGTCGATTTGTCCTACCTGTTATATAAAACTAATGTATAGAAAATTATATTAAATAATTTTAATCTCTATACTAGTATAACGACTCAAGTTATCCCAGTACAAAACTATTGTAAGTCAGAAAAATAATTTTTTTTATAATGATTATTTTTTATTTAAAAATACAGACATTGTTATACTAATAATATTTTTCAATTCAAAAAAAATAATAATATAATTCTTGTGACGAATTGAAAAGCAAAGACATCTTTTAAGGTCGAATTTATCCAATAATTTCTTTATAAATCGAATTTAATATTAAAATATTTCAGTATATATATTTTATAAATAATTTTTATTATTAACTAACCTGTTTACTGATAATATCGGCGATGTTGCGTAGACTTTGCTTTATGGGATACTTGGCCATATCCCATTGGAAACGTGTCAAATAAGTCGGCAAGTCGCCTGGAAACATAATATACATATATTATAATAATATATTACACTTAAATAAATAATTTAAATTTATTTAGAATATTTTTTTATCATCTATATGAGAGCCAATATACAGCCTTTTAAATTTTCCATGGTTTTAAAATAAATTTTACGTGAACATCTCATATGCTGAAGCTTGAAATTTTCAAACAAGTCAATGCGTATAAGATGTTTTTGATGAAACGACTTCGATTAAAAATTAAATGAGAAACAGAATATTTTAATTCAAAGCCATTAAAAAATCAATGTACAAAACATGTGTAAGTAGCAAAAACATAAAATAACGTGTGCTGGAAAAAAAATACAAAAAAAAAATAGAAATAAAAAAAATAAGCATAACCTAATGATGCATTTAAAACTATTACACAATTCTACATTCACATGCAAACATACATTTGAGTACAAAATCATTCAAATTCATACCACATATAATACCATGCAATTAAAAAACCTAGTTCACAAAAAATACTAGATTGCTAAGCAATTCGGAATCTAATTAACATTTATGTACCAAATGATTGAAATACTTTTATAATATATTGGAAACACCTTGTTTGACAAATTTACCACAAAAAAAAAAGGTTTTTTTCACATAATTCAACATGTACGGGGCGTGTAACGTACAGGGGTAATGCAAAATAAAATAAAGAAAAAACATGTATGGACACAGATAGTACATACATACATCAAATGTATTTACAAATTGAACAAAGCGACAATAATTTTTTTACATCTCTGCGACTCGACATATTCTGTTATTCTAGCGTCACCACAAACTTTATAACAAAAATATTTATTTTTATCATAATTATATAACAATGCCTATAAAAAATTCAGGATGGCGCTTAAGACATAGAATAGCACCACCTGTTAGAATCGGATATATAAATTTTAGCAACCACTGCTTAAATATACTTTACAAGTTTTTGTGCTGTACGTAACACTTAATTAATTGTATCATTAATTTATTATTTAGTTATATAATTATTTATATTTATATAATTTAAATAATTAAATTAACCTGCCAAGTTCAAATTTAGAAGTATTATAATTTTAGATATTTTTAACCAAGCACCTACGTATTTTCACAACTATACCATATTTTAAGTTGGGTGTATGGTAAAGTGAATTTCGGCCAGATGGACCGTTGACGTGAATAAGGTGGCGGGTAGTGGCTGGATGTGGAAGGCAGAGGACTCGGTGTGGTGGCGAGTCTTGGGAATGGCAAATGTTTACCAGTGGATCATGCTGTTGATGAAGATGATTATGATCGATTTCAAAGTGCATCTAAACTTGGCATTAGATTGGATTTCACCCCTTTTTTAGGCAAACAATTAGCCGATTGGAACTTGGCCCCCTTTTTAACAGGCATGTTTTTGGTGAGATTTCATTACTTTTTTTCAAGAAATCGTACATACAATCGTACTATACAGCCGTACAATGCATAACTTACAGCATGAAACATACAGCTACCATCTGATGGCATAGGAATTACCCTATGTGGTATATCTCCGCCAACCACCGAAAGATGTACAATTTCCATCGTTTTTAAATGAATAGTAGAAAAGAAATAGAGTGAATTTGTGCTTTTAACACACACAAGTAATCAATTAATAAGCAATATCATATTAATGCTTTAGCAAGTCAAATCAGTGATCCATTTAATCGTAATCGTAACCATATATAAGATATCAAGACATAAGTGTAGAAAGAAATAGAAAGAAATGACCATCGATTCCTTATCGACTTTCATTCATATATACTGCAGACAAAACAATATCGCGATTCAACTATACCGCTAGCGCCATCTATCGAAAGTAATTTATAACAATAGAAACCTGATTTTTTAGGTAAGCAATATTTAATTAAGTTATACAGTGTGCATTATGTATACATGACAATATTTTATATCCCTTATATATATATATATCAGTTCTTAAGAAGCGCCCCACACTTTTTTTTAATAATACCATTTATTGTTTATTTTAAACAATTTAAATTATGTAAATTGATTTCCAAGGTTGTAAAGGTTAAATTAGTTTCCACGCGGTTTCTTTCATCATTGGAGCGTGTTTATTAGTTTTTTTTAAACTATATTTATTTTTTATTTTTTAGTTTCATTTATCACCGATTGATAGATGTACTCATATTATTAATTATTAATATTTCATTATTATGTAGGTATTTTATTGTGCTGAGCTGAGCGCCTATATAAAGGTTTTGATTACCTGTCAGTGAGTCAGTGCCAAAATTAGCTATTTTCACAGGGTCATATTTCAGGATCTACTGAAGCTTTATCTATGAAATTTGGCATACTGCTTTAGTATATATAATTACGTAGGTAAAATTTTATCTCTGTACTTGCAATAGACACTGAGCTACAGGGGGTCAAAAGTGGGTCGAATTTATTAAAAATTCGATATTTAGAATTGAGGCAACTCACGCTTGACCGATTTCTTAAATTTCTTAATTTTTTGTTAATCTACATATAACACACAACCTGTGTACCAAATTTCATAATGCTAAAAGAATGGGAAGTGGCCTAGAGGTTTTGATTACCTGTCAGTGAGTCAGTGCCAAAATTAGCTATTTTCACAGGGTCATATTTCAGGATCTACTGAAGTTTTATCTATGAAATTTGGCATACTGCTTTAGTACTAGTATATAATTACGTAGGTAAAATTTTATCTCTGTACTTGCAATAGGCACTGAGCTACAGGGGGGTCAAAAGTGGGTCGAAACGGTTCGTGTAAATATAGTGCACGGCATGCGCCGGCCTGTGGAACTTGGCCGGCGCACTACCGTGCGCTTAGATAATCGACGACAACAGGTGTTCGGAAAAATTTGAATAAATTTATTTTAACACCTGTAAATGTAGAACAATGTTACATGTACTCTTTTTGTAATTAATCCCTACTAATATTATAAATGCGAAAGTAACTCTGTCTGTCTGTCTGTCTGTCTGTCTGTCTGTCTGTCTGTCTGTCTGTCTGTCTGCTACGCTTTCACGCCTAAACCACTGAACTGATTTTAATGAAATTCGGTACAGAGATAGAGTTGACCTTGAGAAAGAACATAGGATAGTTTTTATCCCAGACTTTTGAAAGGTTCTCTTGGAAACGCGATATAACCGAACTCCACGCGGCGAAGCTGCGGGCGGAAAGCTAGTTAATTAAATAAATAAATAAATAAAAACCTTTTATTTATAAAGTCCCGTCATTCTTACTTGTATTAAATGTTTTATTTATATCATCAACAGTGCAAATTAAGGTTTAACAAATTAATGTCTTGCCGATTTACATTTAACCTAAGTAGTTCTAAAGAAAATCTATTTCACAGCCGGTTTGAATTTGGAATTTTTTGAAATTGTGTTGTTGTTGTCGAATATAATTATCTTGAACATATTTATTTCATTTGTAAAAAGTATTAAATGATAAAACTATAATATTGTAGGAATATTGGAGAGTATAAGAGGGGCGAGCCATATATGTATAAGAATTTGTCACAGAATATCAGGGTTCTTTTCTCGTTCAAAACGCGAGGTGGAATGATAGTTTTATCAATCGTAGATTTTCGGAGTGTGTTTAAATCTTTCTTTTGGGATATATTCAAAAATATGTTTTCAAGATAGCTTTAAATCAAGGAAATTTAAAGTTATTACTTTATTTTTTGGCTTACCGCTGCGGTTCTCTTAAAACTAATATTTATATCTATATGTTTCGAAAGTGTGTCTTGTTGTGTCATTATGTGTTGTTGCAGTAAACAGTGCCAAGACTCTATTGTCTTCGCTGTACGAAATTCATCTAAACCGATTATTCAGGAAAGTTGATGAAACTATCTAAACTTAGGGAAGAAATTTTAGGTGCTAAACTGAAACACGGCGAGGAGAAAAGTGAGCCGTTTTGACATCAATCAACTCCTGTTTGATTTTTTAGAATATCTCAATTGATGAGTATTGGAAATAACAAAAGAAAAGGAGATTTCCAGCTAATTAAATATAACCTCGTATTTTGCCATGGTTTATAAATAAAAAAATTCTTTTACAGGTAGTGGCTATCTATTTGCAAAACATACACTCTTCGTTGTAGGCTTTTGATCTATTTATTGGAACTACATATATTTTAATAAAGCAATATGTTGAAGTAAAAAATATTATTCACAGATTTTTACAAAATTCTAATGTTTATAAAAGATTGTCTCTGAATTTAACACTAAAATATTTCAAACGTTTCCATAATTATTGCACTAATCTTCTATTTGTAGCAATACAATATTTCATGCAACCTCAGCATTATTTATTTGAAATTTATAATCAATAAATTAAAATAAAATATTTGAAAGAAATTATATTATTTTTATAGATTATACTAATTATTGATTAAGATATAAAATATGAAATAATTATAGCTGTGGGTGATATTCTTATTTAGCAAAATTTTTCAGAAGTGGCATAATGTCGGATTCTTTAAATAATGAATTAGCATAACAGAGACAGCGAATATAGTTATGAAATACAGACTTCTACAATTAAAAACAATTGGATGTACATAATATTAAGATAAATATTTTATAATAATATTACCAATTTTCACTTAATCACAAATAATTTTTTGTAAATATATATTTCAATGAAAAGTAGTGAAATGTCGGAAAAAGATACAAAAAGATGTATTGAGTCATCTGGACTTTATCAGTCGACTTTCTTTTTAAATTCAGTTTGAATGCTTAAACCTTTAAATCTAAAGTCAATTAAAAAAGTAACAAAGACCAAAGGTAATAATACTTCAGATTAACTGGATACTAGTAATTCATCGACATTAGCTATTGAAACAAATGATGATCACAATTCCATTCGCTAAGTGTGCAAAGCTCGTAGAATCACTTGGTTTTGCATGTTTTGCTTACCTTCCCCGAAAAATGTAAATTAATTTCAATACGCTATCCTATTTAGCACACAAACTAGGTGAAAT